TGACTTTCCTGAGTTATCTGTGCCACGGCAGAGTCTGCTGCGAGAGCAGCGCTCTCAGGGCTCGCAGGACAAGAAGCAATAAGCTGAAGTGACTGCAAGGGTGGCTCGTGTGAGACACGAGGAGAGTGAGGTGGTGGGACAGGCTGCCCGGGCAGGCGGACGAGGCGTCGCCGGAGGGCTCCGAGAGGAGGACAACCACCCAGCACCGATCCCGGGGAGACCCCAGAGCGCAGCCCGTCCGGCTGCCTTCGCACGGGCACCGCTCTGCGCCGCATCACCAGGGGTGAGGCTGGAAACGGGGCAGGAAAAGAGCAACAACAAAGGGCCACAACAGAATCCAGACCGTGCCGGCACAAATCCTGCCTGCTCGTTAACAGCAACAATTATAAGCTGCCATAAAGTGTAATTGTACTACACAGCGTTAGATTCATCAGGCAATTACAGCCATTAATAACGCACCCCAGCCCGACGAGCAGAGCGGACGCGCAGCCTGGTGTCCTTCATTTCTCAGCAGACCACTGACAAATCCCGCGGTAGATCAGGGGAGCCATTTCTCGCCTGCTGCGCGGTGTCAGGCGCGCGCTGCAGTGTGCATCACTACCAGTCGCCATTAGCGATGACTTGTGTCTTTCATCTCATCCCTGTGCCTGGAGAGCGGCAGCCGTGCCCGCTCGCCCCGCGAAGCCCCCGACATCCTTCACACAGACACGGCCAAGCCCAGCACAGACCCAGCACAGCCCTGTCCCATCCCCGGCTGCGCGGAGAGCCTGGCGCGCTGCAGCCTACTCCCACCCGGGAAGGGCTCGGGGGGAGGAGTCGCCTCCAGCCCTCGGAAAGCCCCATTTTTTACGTTTCCACCTAAGTAAAGAGGCAGAGCAGCAGCCGGGCTCTCCACGCAAGAGACATGGACAGAACACCCGACTGTGAACACCCGCCCCATCGAGCCCGGTAACTCGCGCTGGGTTATCACAAACCTATAGGAAGGGGGTGGGAAAAGGAAAAATCCCACAGCAGCAACACCTTTCCCCTCCCTATCCTCGGAGCTTCGATTCAGGGGAGCCCAGAAGACCAACATGCTTTATAAGTGAAGGTACAAAAGAATGAGTCTACGGGCTCTTATTTTCTCTAGCGTTCTCCCCAAGTGAGACACAGTAAATCTTCCCTGTGTCTTGTCCATGGCACATTGAATCTGACACGCTGCGTGAAAATCCATTCAGTAATGCAGAAAAGCAGGGAATTTCTTTTATTCCCCTTTCCAAACACCACTGTGGACATCGGCGGCTGCTCCTCGTGCCCATGGGCCACCACAAACAGCACATCACCAACACAACTTCTCGCACGACATTTTCCTTCCCTGACAAGAGGCGACACCGACTGCTCACCGCCAGGCGGGACAAACCCGTGCCCACGTTCAGACGCGCCACAAGACCGAAGCAGCACCGTCCAGGGACCCTCCTCAGCACCCGCACCGGGGTCGGGCCAGACCGGTCCCCGCGGCCAAGGGGTGCCAAACCTGACCCGGCTGCCCACATCAAATTCACACATCGTTTAAAAATCCCGACAGGGCATTAGAAACGATTTCCTCCCTGAACCTGGTTTCAGCAGCATCATCCCTGCGCAGGGAAGGGCTCCTGCCCGCTAATTAGCCATCACCTACCGGAGGCGCGCAGTGCAGAGAACATCTCCCCAGCGCGAGCTCCCGCCGCTGCCCCCCGGAGTCGGGGGAGACAAATTGAGAGGGAAACACCTACAGCACAAATTTACGTTTCTGTCAAAGAACAGTGGCTGAGAGCTATTTTTGGAAACTGGTCTCCATCATATTAATTCAACGTCTGGTTGAAGTTGTCTCATTTGCAGCAAATCTGGCTGGTAAATATTAACCTTGGGCTTTGTTGAAATTCTCCTTGCAGATATACAAGGGATTGGATGGAAAAGATGAAGCAGAAAGAGACAACCTTACAGCAAATGTCAGGCAGATCCTCCACATCACGGTTTCATTTACACAAAAGCCATTACAATGCACCACAAAGTAACTGGCATGAAGGGGCCACAGCTCGTGCCTGGTAAAATTAAGGGTAAAAAGACATGGGTGCCGAGAAGCCTAGCGAAAACAAAATAGGGATGGACATGCGATCATCCACAGGGCAACAGGACTTCTCACTCGCCTGCCGTGCATCTGCTGGAAACAGGTTTTAACATCAGAGTCAGCGCAGACCAGCATCTGGCTGCAGATATATATTAGACAAGAAACACAGTGTAAATGTATTTACAGTGACAGAACCTCTCCTCTTATTTGAGAGGAGATGTTAAACAGATTGCTGGAGCTGCTCGGTTCCACCCTGGAGATGGCGCGTTTCAACGGCCACTGAAATGATTCATCAGAAACGCGCAAACCCGTGGAAGCCCGTCAGGCGCGCCGCAGCGTCTTCGGAGACGCGGTGCCATAGAGAAGGACGGACAGTGAGAAGGCTCGGCTTTCTGGCAGCAGTAATTAGCAGTGCCGTAAATCCTATTAGTCTTTTTTCATCTCTCCCGATTTCAGCGTGAGGATACGAGCACTCTCTCAGCGGCAGGATGATGTCACCACGTGAACCGCGGTTAGGGGGATAGCGGCTTTGCGATTTACTTCAAACAGCTTCACCAGTTCAGCGGGAAATAAACCTCGTTCTTCCTGCAGAGAAGGCCCACGTCTCCCGGCCACGCGCCGCGGCCGCCACCAGCGCTGCCAACCAGGCACAGCCTGGCCCGCACCGGCACCAGCGAAGCCCCCCATGGCCCCCGGCCAGCTGGCACCGTGCCGTGCCACAGGGCTGTGCCCAGCTGCCAGACGGCCCGGGGAAACCGCTCCTTCGCTTCTGCTGTCCCATATGCCCTCGATTTAGACCCAAGAAGCTGCGCCATGCACTTGGCCCTAAGCACCACCCCAGGTCCGGCCGGCGGCCAGGCCCCGCAGGGTCACCGGATAAACGGGCGACTGATTTCGGACACCAGCACATCCCATGCTGCAGGTGCAGCCAGAAAGTCCTCGGAGAAGATGGAAGGGGAAGGGAGAGGGCCAGGAGCTGCAAAGCAACACCCGACAGCCTGGAGAGCCACCAGCCGCCCCAGCACAGGATGGGGGGTCGGCCCCCGGGGCCGTCCCTGCTCCCCACGGCAGTCCTTCAATGAACGCAGGGTCCGACCTCCCACGGCCACGGGAGCTGCGACAGAGACGGTGGCCAAGGAGAGTCCCAGGCAAGGCGGACCCAGCAGACTCTGAGGCCACGGGACCACGGCGGTGGAGCCCGGTTTGCCGTGCCATCACCCGGCTGTTTCAACCTCCCCAAATTCCCACTGCGTTTACCTGCCTCCCGCTCAAGGGCTTTTGTCCTCGTTGAAGAATTTCTGCAGCCCCAGATGCTTTCATCACAAATCTTTTAAAGTCATTCACTTAGTGCTATGCTAATGCAGGGCTCTGAAAAAACCCCAAAACTTTCAGTTTTCTGTATTTGACCAGACATCAGACGTTGCTCCACAGAGAGTGACTAACGACCTGCTTTCTGTGAGAAGGGGAAAAAACTTAATTATGTCCATTAAATTACTTCAAATATTTTTCCTTAGAGAATATGAATTATTTAAACTCAACACAGAGAAACCTGAAACATTAGCGAAAGCCTTCTGGGACTCGCTATGTAAATTCCCACTCCAAACAGATGGGGAAAGCATGGCGAGCTGCCACGCAGCCACTGAAGCAGTGAACAGCACTGAGATTTCAATCCGATAGTTTTAATAAGGTCTTCTTAAGGAGGGCACCAAGCAAATAGCCACTACCCGGAGCGGTGGGAAAGGCTTCCTACACAATGGAGGAAGGCGGCACGGTCGGCACAATTTAAATCTGCAAAGCCCCAAGTAGCCCCTGAAGGACAGACCCGATTCCTCAGGAAATGCTCGCTCTCCTGCCGTCCCATAAGCCCCAAACATGGGGGAACGCTACCTCTCTGGGACTTATTTAGCTCGTTTCCTCTCAATCCCTGTTCTACCAGTTGGAAAGGTCCAAGGTATCACCTGGACGCCAGGCACAGACAGCGAAGGGTGTTCTTGGGCATGTCTTACCAAAGAAAACACCTCCTCGCACACGTCTCAGCTGGTGGTCTGAGCTCTCCTCTGCCCCAGAGGAGCTCTGCACACTGCCAGTTAATTGATAGCCAATTACACCTTCCAGAGAAGAAAAGCCTCCGGGTGCCGATGGATGGAGGAACAGCCGTCCCTGAGGTAGGAGACGCACACCCGCCACCCTGCACGCAGAGCCGCCTCCGCTCGCCGGGCACCGCTGGCGGCTCCTGCGGGCACCTGACGGGGCGCAGAGGCAGTGGAGGCCACGCTGAGCCGCGACGAGGCCAGCCACTCGCCCTCCGGGAGGAATGTGCCTGGGAGGAGGCACCAGCCCGGCACCGCTCTCCTTCAGAGGCTCATACGCTCCGAGAGCGGGAGCACGGCACCCCGCATCCCGCACGCTCAGGGCTCACCCCGTGCCTGGCTCTTTCAAATCGAGATCGGAGCGGTCACAGCACCAGGTTCCTTAGAGGGATACCTGCTAAGGCAGAGGTTATATCCGCTTTTACAGCTATCATTAAACGTAACCTTGCGAGCTCTACAGTCACCGAATTATTGTGGCTAAAGCATGACAATGGGGATATTAATGTTCTGGAGTAATTTTATAGCTACAGATACAGCTGTGGGAAATGCGTGGCGGTACTCAGAGCTTCGGTGCCTCTGCCCAGCCAACACCATGCTGCAGAGCAGCTACCGGCAACGCGCCCCATTCACCCAACTGCCACCCTTCAAATTAAGGCCTGGCTGTAGCTGGGGAGCTGCAACCAACTAAAAGAATCATATTGCTGACAAAAGGCAATTCCACTCGTCTGAGCCGTGCACGGGCACCAGGCAGACTGGAGCAGTCTGGCAGCAACACGGACCGACACAGACAGAAACTGCCAGAGGACACCGACGGCCACTTTTACCTCTGCATCCCCCGTCCTTCTCCTCAAAGCCGGGACCACACGTGCACTTCCCTATGGGGACCAGCCACTCGCCCTCCGCGCTGCAGTGCATCCTGGGGGGATTATCCACGTCCACTTCGGCGTGAGCGACGCAAGTGCCCTTAACTTCCACCAAAGTCGCGAAGGCTGTCTCCGCCACTGTGTCCGGAAACACGGCCAGGTTCTGCACGGTGGCGAGGCACTTCTTGTAATAGACCCGCACGGAGACCAGCGCCACGCAGGCGCCCACATCCTGGAAGCCCAAGTGGAAGCCTCTCTTGCTCAGGTGCCCGATCTCCCTCAGCTCAGTGTTCAGCTTCATCTTACGCTCACCCAGGTCCCCCTGCGTGAAGCTCTCATCAGCAGCAATGGTGTCGATCTTGGTGTGCTTACTCTCATGGACGCTACGGCCCAGGTCAGTGTCAGACTCGACGTAGTACAGATTGAAAGTCTCCTTGCAGGTGCCCATCACGCCAGGGATGCTGTTGCAGTCCCGCAGGGTGAACTTCAGCTCGATGAAGATCCTCTGGCCATCGCGCCTGGCAATCCAGCCCGTCTGCAGCCAGTTGTTCTGGTTTGGCTCCATGACATTGCAGACCTGGTATGTGCGTATCGGCTTGTAATTCTCATCCACGCCGCTGATTTCTTCCCACTGGGGAAAGAACACAAAGGGCTGTCACAGCTCGAGAGCTGCCATCAGCAAGAACCAGCCACACCAGCACAAACACACGGATCAGTATAAACATCACCAGCACAAGCCTCTCCACCTACAGGCCATCAGATTACAGGCACCAGAAGTCCTCAGTCCACCAAAACCCCAGGCTGTGGTAACACAGCGGTGCTGCTGGACCACCTAATACCCGAGCTCCCTGCAGAGGTGCAAAGAGGGAGACACAACCAGAAAGAGAGCACTGGCATCAGACCTTCTAAACCAAAGTCTAACATGAAATTGGACACATCATCTGCTGAGCAGCCAGAGCCTTTATGTCCCACACACCCCTCGCATCTTCCGTCCCTGGGAAGGTGCACCTGCACAGCGTTACCACACAGCGCGATGCCAGATGGGGTTGGGCTACCCAGAGAAGTCAAAGGGGGCCAAGGAGATGTGACACCAGTCACACCACCACACAGGGACAAGTATCTTCGTGAACAGCAGCAGCAGCTTCTCTGTCGGGAGAAGTTTTAGATAGAACAGGACAAATCCTGCTACTGCAAGTGAAACAGTATTTCCCCAAAGTTACCAGCAGAGATTCTGATTAGTGAAACGATGATTCAACCCTCACAGCCGTAAGGATGACCTGGCAGCTTCCCAAAGCAATTCTTTCTGGGGGTAAATTTATGCAAGATTGCCAAATGTACCCAAAACAGAGTTTCTTCTGCAGACTAACAGCTGGGGAACGCAGATGACTCCAGGATGTATCGCTATTCCCCCTGAACAGTTTGTTTCCATTCTGGAAAACGAACCCAAAGCAGCAAGGAACACCACTCAGTTTCCCAACACACTCTCCTCAAAGCAGCTACGGACTAACCCTGGCAGCAAAGCAAGGACCTGATCAGACAAACCCGACATGACGCGGAGCTCCCGACGATCCCGCGCCAGCCACAGCCCTCGTCCAAGAGCTGAACTGATCCCCACGAGCTCGCGCTGGCGTGCAAACAGCAATACAAAGGCTTAACTGGCTGGTGTTTATTTGCTTGTTACAGGAGTGTAAAATTCATTTTGAGGAGCTGTTCCACACTGGCTGTATTGCTCACGTAACCAGCACTTCGCTTCTCGCTCTGCTCCCCGGGGTGCCCGGTGCTGATCAACACGACGGCTCGTGCCGAGCTGCCCACGCGCCCCCGGCTCGAGGAGACCCCGTGGCTGCCAGCCCCCTCCACCCGCTCCACGTGTGGACTTTAAATACTGCTGAGCACCGAAGGGCAGACCCTCCCTCGCAGAGGGACAGTCCCACCTCCACCCTTACCCCGTTTGACGGGTGCGAGGTCCAGCCCAGCTCCGCTTGCGATTCCTTCGAGTCCAGCAGGACAACTGCAGGGAAGACAACGAGTTAGAGAGCAAACTCACTGACCCGGGAAACACCAGTGAACATCCACGCGGCCCGTCGCTGGGAAGCTCAGTGCCGTGCGCCCTTCCGGACACCGGCCCGAAGGGTGCGTCAGGTCCCCGAGCGCGGGGGGCAGCTCCCGCCCCAGCTCCCCCAGCCACACCGAGTACCCCACAGGACTCAACGCCGCAGAGCTCCCGGCCGCGCGTCCACAGGGGACCTCGCACTCAGGTGATGAGCACCCTGACCTAACGAGGATGACATCCCAGGGAAGACTGCGGTCCGTCCCACAGGACTCTGCAGGACAATCCACCCGCCGCCACCCGCCAATGCTGCAGCGGTTCCGTGCCCGTAGCGCATCTCCCGGCACCGAAAGGCACCGGCGGCAGCTGCTTTGAGACATGAATTTCAGAAAAGACCACGTCCTTTTCCCACAAAACAGCCAATTCTCTGCTCGACAGGAAGCGGCGTTTCCCCCAAATTCACAGTTTGGCGATGCTCCCGCGGCCAGCGAGCAGAAGCAATCCCTGACGGGCAAGTTGTGTCTCCTCCGGGGTCCGCGACACCGGGTACCGCCGCCG